ACAAAAAGAATAAAATACCTTGGGGTAGATTTAACTAAGGAAGTGAAGGACCTATATAATGAAAATTACAAGGCCTTTCTGAGAGAATTGGATGACGACATAAGGAGATGGAAAGACATTCCATGTACATGGATTGGAAGAATAAACATAGTTAAAATGTCCATTCTACCTAAAGCAATCTACAGATTCAACACCATCCCAATCCAAATCTCAATGACATTCTTTACAGAATTAGAACAAAGAATCCTAAAATTCATATGGGGCAACAAAAGACCCTGAATTGCTAAAGCAATCCTGAGAAAAAAGAACAAAACGGGAGGCATCACAATCCCTGACTTCAAAACATACTACAAAGCTACAGTAATCAAAACAGCATGGTACTGGTACAAAAACAGGTGCACAGATCAATGGAACAGAATTGAAAGCCCAGAAATAAAACCACACATCTATGGACAGCTTATCTTTGACAAAGGAGCTGAGGGCATACAATGGAGAAAAGAAAGTCTTTTCAAGAAATGGTGCTGGGAAAACTGGAAAGCCACATGTAAAAGAATGAAAATTGACCATTCTTTTTCACCATTCACCAAAATAAACTCAAAATGGATTAAAGACCTAAAGGTGAGACCTGAAACCATAAGGCTTCTGGAAGAAAACGTAGGCAGTACACTCTTTGACATCAGTATTAAAAGGATCTTTTCGGACACCATGCCTTCTCAGAGAAGGGAAACAATAGAAAGAATAAACAAATGGGACTTCATCAGATTAAAGAGCTTCTTCAAGGCAAATGAAAACAGGATTGAAACAAAAAAACAACCCACTAACTGGGAAAAAATATTTGCAAGTCATATATCTGACAAAGGCTTAATATCCTTACTATATAAAGAACTCTCGCAACTCAACCACAAAACATCAAACAACCCAATCAAAAAATGGGCTGGAGACATGAACAGACATTTCTCCAAAGAAGATATACTGATGGCCAATAGGCACATGAAAAGATGCTCATCATCGCTGATCATCAGGGAAATGCAAATCAAAACTACACTAAGATATCACCTTACACCCGTTAGAATGACAAAAATATCTAAAACTAATAGCAACAAATGTTGGAGAGGTTGCGGAGAAAAAGGAGCCCTCATACACTGCTGGTGGGAATGCAAACTGGTGCAGCCACTATGGAAAACAGTATGGAGATTCCTCAAAAAACTAAAAATAGAACTACCATATGATCCAGCCATCCCACTACTGGGTATCTATCCAAAGAGCTTGAAGTCAGCAATCCCAAAAGTCCTATGCACCCCAATGTTTATTGCAGCACTGTTTACAATAGCCAAGACGTGGAAGCAACCTAAGTGCCCATCAACAGATGAATGGATAAAGAAGTTGTGGTATATATATACAATGGAATAGTACTCAGCTGCAAAACAGAACAAAATCATTCCATTTGCAATAACATGGATAGACCTTGAGAGAATTATGTTAAGTGAAATAAGCCAGTGAGAGAAAGATAATCTGTGTATGAGTCACTCATATGAGGAATTTAAAACTATGGACCAAGAACAGTTTAGTGGATACCAGGGGAAAGGTGGGGTGGGGGGTGGGCACAAAGGGTGAAGTGGTGCACCTACAACATGACTGACAAACATTAATGTACAATTGAAATTTCGCAAGATTGTAACCTATCAATAACTCAATAAAAAAAATAATAATAAAAAAAAGAAAAGAAAATGTGAAAGTTGAGCTCAAGGTGGTGCCTATTTTTATCCCACTGCCGCTCCCTCCCCAAAAGAGTGCTCCATCTACTGCTCCTCAGTCCACTTGGATGACTTGCTCTCTTATGTCTGAGTGTGTCAAGTCAAGCCTCTTGTTCACTAATGATGTGATTTTTTAAAAAATTTGATTTAGATTTTAGGCAGTCCAAAAGGGGATGTGTGTTTGAGAAACAGAAAGATGGTCCAAGATGCTGGAGCCTGGTGAGGGACAGTGAGAGTAGTAGATGATGAGAGCGAAGAGGAAGAGATCCCGTAGGATCTTCTAGATTGGGGTAAGCAGTTTGGACTTTACCTGAAGTGTAGCAGAAATCCATTAGAAGATTAAAACAGAGAAAAGACAGATTTCATGCTTCATTAAAAATAAACATTGGCTGCTGTGTGGAGAATGGATGGTAGTGAGTGAATAGGGAAGCAGAGGGGTGAGGTCGAAAGCTTTTGCAATGTTGTAGGTGTAAAATGCTAGTGGCACGGACTGGAGTGGTAGGAACAGAGTAGTGGGAAGTGATCGGACCACAGATATATTTTGAAAGTATTGATAGGATTTGCTAATGGATTGAATGGGGGTGTGAAAGAAAGTGAAGGAGTTAAAGGTTACACCAGGGGTTTTGTGTTAAGCCTATATGAGCTGAATTGTCATTTCCTGAGATGGAGAAGATGGAGGGAGTACAGTTTTTTTGTGTGTGGGAAGTTTCTGACATGTTAAATTTGTATGTGCTAAGCTTGAGATACCTATGGGACATCCATGTCTGTAATTTAGCCTTCTAAGTCAGGGATAGGAAACAGGAGAAAGATCTAACAAAGGAGGCTGAACTGGACCCTCTCCAGGAGAGGGTGGTCACACAAAAGCCAGGCAAAATATTTCAAGAAGTAGGGAGTGATCAACTGGATCAAATGCTAAGAGGTTTAGTGATGAGAGCACAGAAAATTGACCATCGAATTTGGCAACCTGCAGGTTGCTGGTGAACTTAAGAGCAGTTTCAGAAGCATATTGGGGATAAAAGCCTGACTGAAGAGGAATGAGGAGGGAATGGGAGATGAAGAAGTGAGTACAGATGATTCTTTAAATACCTTTTGCTTGGAGGAGGAGCAAAGAAATGAGACTGAAGGGGAAATAAAGCCAAAGGAGGTTTATTTATCTCTTTTTTTTTTTGAGATAGGAGAGTCTAGAGTATGTTTGTATGTTGATTCATTAGAAAAAGAAAAATTGTTGATGTAGGAGGAAGAGAAACAATAACTGTAGGAGCAAAGTCCTCATGGAGGCAAGAGGGAATGGTACCATGTGCAAAGTGGAGGAGTCAGCCTTAGGTAAGGGCTTGGACATCCCTCCAGTGTTATAGGAGGGAAGGCAGAGAAAGCCAGGACAGGTGCCAGGAGGTTGATACAGGAGCTCCTATCCAATGGCCTTTATTTTCTCAGAGAAAATATCTGTATTTACTAATTTTACATCAACGAACATAAAATATTTGTGTAGTTAAAAAAAATAAAATAGTGATGTTACAGTTTTGAGGTGTAGATAGTTTTAGATTGTGGGCAGGCATATTTTACCAGGTATGACAGAGTTAGTGTGGAGTCAGGGAACAGAGAAGTCAGGGAATCTCGTGGATCATCTACTGGGATATTGACAGAAGTGTTGGTGGGTAAACAGTTGGAAGCCTGGTGCTTCATTCCTCAACGAAAGTGAATGAGGGGGAAATAACCATGAGATTGGCATTGGCAGCTGGAAAGACATGGATAGAGAATTGGGAATAGACCGTGAATTAGGCTATTCAAAAAATAAGTGTGAAAACAAATTTACACCTCCATGGATCAAATTTCCATTAGTAATTTTTGAAAAAGAAATTCCACTCCTAGGAGTTCATTCTACAGAAAAAATCAGGCAAGTAGGCAGTGTGTTTGGATATAAGCCAAATGTTCAACTATGGAATTGAGTCAACAAATTATGGCACTTCAGTGGGATGCCATATTATCTTTTAAAGTAATGTTTCAACAATCTGTTGCCATATTTGTGATCATTTGGTGATACATTATAATCATATAATGTTAAATTTTCCCTTAAAATAGTGCATAGATATATATGCATAGTAAAAGCATGTGGAGCAGGGTAAGTACCAGAATGTGGTCAGTGGTTCTCTTTAGATAGGTAGTAGATTTATAGATTATGTGTAATTGTTTTTTGCTTTTTTCTTTTCTGTGTCTTTTATATTTTTTGTATAATGAAACATGTTCTATTTGTATAATTAGAAAAGCAAAATATAAAATAAAGGCTATTACACTTCCAATAATAAAAGTTTTGAATGCCTCCCTATTGTACATAAATTAAGCCCTAATTTGACTTGTCTTTTTTAAAGCCTCCCCCTGCCCAGTTATTCTCCCAATTTTGTCTCATGCTCTGTCCCCACAGGTGCCCTGATCTGGAATCTTATGTTTTTCTTTCTTGTTCCTCTAGCTTGACATGTGTTTTCTCTCCTCCTTGCTGTCACCCTACCCCTGTCCTCAACCCTACCCCCATTTGCCAGGTAAAAATCATTCTCTTCTTGCACAGACCAGGTCAAATCCCACTTTCTCCAAGAAATTTTCCTATATTCTCTCACTTTGAAATTCTTTCCCTACTGGGAATTTCCAGAAGCCAATTTTTGCACTTGTTTTCACAGTTTGTCACAACTTACTTTGAATTAGTTACTTTTGTCTTTTATTCCCCTTTGATTGTGAATTCCTGGAAGGCAGAAACAGTATACGTCTTATCTTTGAATCTAACACTATCAGTGCATTAAACCTGGCTGGTGCACAAATAATGTTTTTAGGCATGCTTTCAAAATATGTATGACAGTACAATACAGAGAGTGAACCCTCATTTAAACTATGGACTTTAGTTAAATATAATGTATCAATATTGGCTCATCAATTGAACAAATGTACCATTTGGACAAATTTATCAATTGAACAAATGCAAGATACTAGTAGTAGGGGAAACTGAGGGTGGAGAGGACTATATGGGAAGTTTCTGTTCAATTTTCCTAAACCACTCTAACAAATAAAGTAAAAAAGATATGAAGCTCGGGTATTATGTTATCCTCATCTCATCTCTGTGATATGTTTGTCAGGTGAAATGTACTCACCACTGTTTATTATAGTTGTTTAAACCATTTCTTGAACAACAGTGATTTAAGCATATGTTTCTGATTTTTAAACTTTTGTTGTGTTTGGAGTAACTGTTTCTTTATCTCACAGGTGGATGCTTTCTATGATGATTGCCATGGTGATGGGCTGTCAGACTCCTATTCTAGAGTTTCATTTGCCTGTATTACCTCTCCAATGGAAAGTGCTGACTACCTTAATCATACAACTTACTTTTCTCTAGACGTTGTTTGTAAAGGTACAATTTGCATTTTTTAAAAGTTAAAATTAGTTTTTATCTATGTTTTAGTTTTATAGATTGGATTTGGAGATGATTACAGGGATCATTTCCAGGGTCAAATTTGGAACGTGCTTATTTAAAGAGGATTTTAGTATTAGAAGTACTTCTCCAGAGTCTTTGGCTCCAGTCGGAGGCTCTTTCATACTTAAGGCGGATCTTTGGAGTTTAAAATAATACATAGCAAGGGATGGATATATAATGTTTTTGAAAACTCATGCCATCATTTATTGCATTTTCATTTATTGGTGTAGTTATTAGTATTTGTGTAATTTTTCCATTCATATAGGCGTTGAATCTAACTGAAAAATATTACAAGTATACAGGGATACTATTTTTTTTAAATACTTCCAAGCTTTAAAATAAGGTTTAGAAATAGCCTTGTACCTTTCACAAGCTGGTTGACAAACTGGCCCCCATACACCGAGGGCAAGGAGAGACTGAAGAAAGAGGCAGAACCCTCCAGACTGATAGGTCGCAAGTTTGATAAGCAAGGAAACTTACATACGAGGCTTGTTTGGGCAGCCGCAAGATGAGTAGATCTTCACACCTGCCCACCGGAATCTTAAAAGTTTATATAGAGGCCTTAACTGGGTTCAGTCACATATACAGTCCAGATGGTCTCAGCAATACCTTACTCTCTCAAGGCTGCGTCACTGAAACAGCTCCGGCTATGGGAACAGTGGGCAGAACGTACATTCCAAGGATAGGAGACGGGGTGAGGACCCTTCAATTGTCCAGGTCTAGCTTGTGGGTCAGCCAGCGGTCGTGTCCTCTTGATGACCTCCTCAAACACTTTCTGTGTGTGTGTGTGTGTGTGTGTGTGTGTGTGTGTGTATCTATTGTTGAATTCTATTTGTAATTATCGGGTGTAACATTTTGTTGTTTTATGCCTAAAGCAATAATTTGTTAATTTGTTTATGCTATTTGAGTTTAATTCAGCTCAAGATAGAGTGCTAAATATTGGCAAGACCAAGATAAATAAGACTTTCTTAAACCCTGCCGCCCACAAAGAGCTCATAGTCTAATTGAGAGAGACAAACATGTGAATACACTAAAAGAACGTGATGAATGCAACATTACTGAGCAGAGGAGAGAGAATGATTGACTGTTATGGGGAGAACTGAGGAAGGCTACCTGGTGAGGTGCTCTGTGAATTGGACTCCATACTCCTGCAACCTTTTGCCAGGCTGGATTTTGAAAGATGAATAGACGTAAAACTTTTGTACCTGTTTAAGCCTAATCAGTTGCCATTTAGCTTGGGAAAAAAGGGGACGATAGTTCAGCCACACCAGGCAGCTTTCCATTTGACTTTTCGTGGATGTAAAGGCCAGGACCTGACCTTAGTTGTTAATTCTGGAAGTCTCCAAAGATGATTGTCTGGTGGCAGCTACTATTTTAAGACCTGTTTAGTCAGAAATACCCAATTTTAGGAGAAAAGGCCCCTGTGATTGCTTAGCTCCAAAGGCAATTTCTTGGTCCCTATAACCACACCAACAGGAATTGTAGCCCTTGCTATGAGAATTCTTTTCAAGATAAAAACACTTGAACATGTTTGTATCGCCAAAGGGATTGATTGAAGGTGCAGAAGAGATCAGGAAGGACTGATGGAAGAAGGTCCCTGGGAGTAAAGAGAGGGTGGGACCCAAAGCATAGGTGGAGGGATTTACTGCTACAAAATAAATTGAGTGAATCAGAGTAATAGACCTCTCTAGGATGAAAGAGAAAGTAGGTGAAAAAGATCTGAGCACCTAATCAGTCATACTTAGAATTGGCAGAATCCCTACTATTAATCTTATTATGAAACCCAATGAAAATGGCACACAAAATATTCCAATTTATAACATAATGGGAATCTGAAAGAAGGAAAAATTGTGTTAAACTTTTTGACCTACATAATGGGGAGTCAGTACATGTTCTTTTCTTGTTGATGATCATTCAACAGGTATTTGAGTGCCTTACTCTGTTCCAGGTATTATTTTCATATTTGCATTCTAATGAGGTAGACCTCAGACAATCAGCAAGTAAGCCAAAAAAAAAAAAAAAAAACCCAAGAAACCAGAGAGAGTTATAGATTGTTTTCTTCTCTCCAGGATTTGAACAAGATACTGTGATAGTAAAACTTCGAGTAGGGTGGGTTGGGGTTTACTGTAGATAGCAGATTAGGGAAGGCCTCTCTGAAGAGGTGACACTTGAACTGAGACCTGATGGATAAGAAGGAGCCAGCTGGGGAAAATATTCCAAACCAGGGAAGACTCATTGTAAAAGTCCTGAAGTGGAAACATTTCGGCGTGTCCTAGGAACTGAAGGGAGGACAGGAGAGCTGGAATGTGTTGAGTATGTGGTATGACTTGAATGAGGAATGGTATGAAATGAGATTGTAAATGCCAGTAGGATCCAGGTGGTGTAGAATCTGGTACTGTGTTAGGTACACAATTTATACTATCAGATTTAATCCTATCAGGAACCTTCTGAGGCAACCTTGGTGTGGTCAGTTCTAATAGGATGGTGTAGATGAAAAAACAATTGTTTAAGTAGGTTGAGGAATGAATGAGAGGTGAATATACGTAGACCGAGTGTGGTGAGTGTGTGAGAGGGAGGAATTGAGTGTGTGTGTTCTTCTCTGCACACCATGAATGTTTTTATATGTCAGTGGGAGGTGGTCTAATTGGTGCTTTAGGGCCCAAGATCCCATTTGCTTTTATCTGTCTCATAGGATGGTAGTGATCAGCCCTGTTTTGCAGACAGGATTTGACCGTTTAGGCCCATGAATGTTGCTCATGGAAATGGTTAACATCAGTAATGGGTCTCAGGTTATTTTTTTTTTATGTGCGTAGACAATAAATGTGAATAACCATTTTGGTGAAGAATACTAAAATGGAAGTGAGTATTCAGCCTCAGGGTGGGGGGTGAGGTGGTCTACCAAGAGCACAAGTTGCTATTTCTTTCCCCCTTATTTTTCGAACTGTGCACTAATACCGTCCCCTAATGTCCTACATGTCCTCATGTAACCGGTGAAACTTGAATTAGAGGCCTGGGGTCACAAGTAAGGTTATTTCTTCATTTTTCAGAATATAGCAGCTTGAGTACCCACTTAAAAGATTAAAAAGAAGTTCCATGTAGCCTTCTTCTATTTTTTGGACTTTCCCTTACGCCTTGAACTGCCCAATAGTCCAGTGTCTTGCTCAGTCCAGAGATAACGTCCCTGTTTCAATATGCCTCTGTAGTGACCAAAGAAGTCACTAAAGGACCCTGTTCTTTACCTGATGACATTTTTATGATTGGATTTAGCCAATGGGAAGCACAAGAGGAGACTGGAGTAAGCACAGAGATGTTGGACTATTTATTCCCCTAGCTACCTCATTGCTAGGCTGCACATTGGCAATGATTTTATCCTTCTATCAAAGGTCATAACTTCTGTAGGGCAACCCTGTCTTACAGCTATAGCTGTCAGGGGTGACCATATCTTCTATTGTCCAATCTGAGTCATTTTTGAGACTAAAATGGTGTGACAATTGATTAAAATTAAATTGGCTATTTTTAAAAAAGATTTTATTTTTCCTTTTTCTCCCCAAAGCCCCCCAGTACATAGTTGTATATTTTAGTTGTGGGTCCTTCTAGTTGTGGCCTGTGGGACGCTGCCTCAGCTTGGCCTGACGAGCGGTGCCATGTCCACGCCCAGGATCCGAACCAGCAAAACCCTGGGCCGCCGAAGCAGAGTGCACGAACTTAACCACTCGACCAAGGGGCCGGCCCCCTAAATTGGCTTTTGAAGTATTTATATATGACTAAGAGATTGGTTTTATGTTTCAATCTTTAAAATAGTATTATTCATAAATTTTTCAAATGTAAAATTATTTCTAAAAAAAGAATATCTGTGTACATTAATGGAAACTTTGTTTCATCAAATTGCAATCTAGTGGCAAATTTGTAAGTTTTCTTAATTTCCTTCCATTCTATTATAGAATATAAATGTCTGCAATACAAAATAAGAGCTATATTCAAACATTCTTACCACACACTGAAATATTCCCAAGTACAATCATGTGATTTCAAATTTGTACACCACGTGAGCTCCGATGGTTCAACTTGTTCCCTTCCTCAATTTTTTAGGGAAAAATTTCAATGTCTCTCTCTTTGCAAACTTCATATCAATAATGTAATTCGCCAAAAGTTTCAAAACGTGAATTTTGGTACTATGTTTGTTGAATGTTTTGATTAAAGATTTCCAACTGATTTTTAAAAGACTGTAACCAAAATTGAAAAGACTCATTTCCAAAAAAAATTCCTACTGGGATAAAACACTTGGGCTGATTCATACAGTCCTTCAAAGGCTCAAGCATGCCTGAAATCCGATTGATGAGTGCAGCAAAAAGAGAAAACAAGTGAGAAAAAAAGAGAAAGATAACCATGCTGAGTCATTATCCTTTTGTATTCAGTATTAACTTTGTCCCAGAAGCTTTATAGTTCAGTTATTTTGAATATATAAATACACAACATACACACACACATAGACACACACACACTTAACTTCTAAATTTTGGTTACTATGACTTCGGTTTCAGCTGGTTGAATATCATACTATGTATGAACTATGAGTGGTTATGAATTACACTTGCACCACAACCAATTACATTTCTGTTACATCAGTTTTTTTTAATTTCTAGGAATCTTATGTTTACTATGATGCTTTGTTCCAAATTTGTATTTGTATTAGCACTGCAAAAACAAATAATTTTATCCCCTGTGTAGGACTTTTAAACTGAATTTATAATAGCATTTATGCTAATATTAGATCTTTCACGTTTGCCAGAGAGAACGTTCATAACTTTGTCAGTGCTTTTCAGCCAAAGGCCAAGTTAGGTTTATTACTTGTTTCAGAAAGGGACAGCAGACACCATGGTGGAACCATGGCATCTCTCAGTAAGAGAGTATAGAAAGAACCTATTAAAGGATTTGAGATTTAGTTGGGTGACTTGGGGAGGGTCTAAGGAAGCAAGGGTTAGTCCTGGATTGGATGCTGTCAGAAAGCAGGGGTGATTCTATGATTGGGTATTTTGTGGATGGCACAGTGGCCTTGTTTTTTTCTGTGCTTGGATAAAATTATGAACTGGCCTTATTTAGTTTCATTTTGTTGTGGTCTCAGGGTGACTTTATCTGAGGTTGTATATTATGAGATTGTTTATGTCTAACAGGAAAACAAAATGGCCTGGCTGTGAGTGTCAAACCAGCTAGTTATAATATCGAGGTCTAGCTGTGAGCAGTTTTAGATATCAGGGGCTAGTGTTTTTCTTTCTCACTTTGATTCCGTGATTTGGATGGAAGGAATCAAACCATTATGGGAATTCCGTCAACTCTTTTCTTCTTTAAAGCATCTGGCATCATTTATCTGTTTGTGAAGTTCTTTTCGGAATGGAGCTAGCATAGTAACAGCTGTTATTTCACTTTTCCAATGTACCTGAGAAATATTGGAATAAAACATTGTTGAAATTATGTTAGAACAGTTATTTGATAAAAGAAAAGTCATGCATCATAGAATTATATGTATATGTACTGTTTGTAGCTTCCCCTGTTTACTTGGGATCTTTGGGCATTGTTTCTTAAAATATCTAGTAATTTATAAAGTAAATGCTTTAGTAGATTTGGGTCTTCTATTTTCCTTGTGGTTACTCATATCACTATGGCCCCCATGGTGGAGAGTAAATATTTGACAGACTAAGTGTTGTTTTAGTCTACTCGGGCTGCCCATAATGAAATAGCATAGACTGGGTGTCTTAAACAACAGAAATTTATTTTCTCACAGTTCTGAATGCTAGGTGTCCAAGATTGAGGTTTCAGCCAACTTGGTTTCGTTTTTTTTCCCCCTTTTTCTCCCCAAAGCACCCCCGGTACATAATAGTTGTATATTTTAGTTGTGGATCCTTCTAGTTGTGGCATGTAGGACATCACCTCAGTATGGCTTGACAAGTGGTGCCATGTCCGCGCCCAGGATCCGAACTGGCGAAAATGCAAACATTTACATAGCATCTCCTGAATACTTCAACGTGGATAATCAGCAACTCAGGTTCAATATTTGTTTATAGTTGTTTTCTGAGTTTCTTTGGTTTTAACAAATGGGTGTACCTAAACGTTACCCTCATCAATCCCTGTCCCCATCCCCCAGGCAACCACTTTTCTGGTTTTTTTTCCCCCACCATAGATTTAATTTGCCTTTCTAGAATTTTATATAATGGAGTCAGACATACATACTCTTTTTTTACTCAGAAGAATATTTTTATATTCATCTCTGTTGTTGCATGTGTCTGTAGTTCATTCCGTTATATTGAATATATCACAGTTTCTCCATTTTCCCATTGAAGTTCATGTTGGCTGTTATCAGCTTTTGGCTATTACGAATAAAACTGCTAAAAAATATTTTCGTACAAGTCTTTTTGTCAACCTATGATTTTCCTTGTCAAAGCTAAGTGCATGGGACTAGGACTGAAACTACTTAGTCACAGTTTAAGGGGAAAAAATCTAGGGAGCCATGGGTTGAAATTTTAGAGTGTTCAGGGAAGGTTTTAAAGAAAAAGTAAAGTTTCAGTAAAGACATGAATGGGGAGAGTAAGAAGGTGAGCCATACAGGGATTTAGAGGTCATTGTAAGGATTTGGCTTTGGGCGGGGGGAGGTTAAGCAATAATGTGATATGAAGTGAATAATATTTTTTTTAAGATTGGCACCTGAGCTAACATCTGTTGCCAATATTTTTTTTTCCTTCTTCTCCTCAAAGCCCCCCAGTACATAGTTGTATATTGTAGTTGTATGTCCTTCTAGTTGTGGCATGTGGGACGCCACCTCAGCATGGCCTGATGAGCGGTGCCATGTCCACGCCCAGGATCTGAACCAGTGAAACCCTGGGCTGCAGAAGTAGAGTGCTCAAACTTAACCACTCGGCCACAGGGCCAGCCCCTTGAGTTATGTTTTACGATGTTCACTCTGCTGTCATGTTGAGAACAGGCTATATGGGACAAGAATGGAATTGGGAAGACAAGTTAAAAATCTGTTGTAATAGTCCTGGTGAGCAATGATGGAGACTTGGCTAAGGCTAGTAGAAGTGGAGGATATAAGGATTGATTTGTTTCTAGAATATTTTGAAGGTAGAAGGGAAAGTATTGGCTGATGGATTGGACATTTGATGTGAAGGAAGCGGGAGTCAAGGATTACCCCTAAGTTTTTGTTTGAGCAATGGTAAGGGTAGAGTTTCCATTTTTGAAATGTGGAAAGACCAAGGAGCAAAATTGAGTGCATGAGAAGAATAGTAAGAGCTCAGCTTTAGACATAATAATTTGAATAAGCGCTTGGATATGTGAGTCCGAAGTTGATTAGAGCTGCAGTCATATACATTTTGGAGTTATCAGCCTATGGATTATTAAATAAAGCCATACAAAAGAAATGTGTATAGAAAAGAGAGAGAGGAGCAAGGAAAGAACTATGAAGGAACTAGGAAATGCTGAGTCATTGGATACAGAAATGTTTAACTTTAGTAGGTATTACCAGCTTTCTGAAGTGGTTGTACCAGTTTTCACTTCCAGTAGGAGTATTTGAGAATTCCATTTGCTTCAAATCCTCCTTGGTACCTTTGTATCCTGTGACTTGCTTTTAACTTATTGTGAAAATGTGTAAATATTTGTTTGTGACTGTAAAATAAAGACGTATAGAGTTCATCATCTATCCAAACACCTGAGAAAATTGTTTCTTCCTGTAACAATATGTCCCGCTGCTGCTGCTACCACTAATAGTGTTACTGGACCAAACGTGGGCCCCTTTTGGCGAGTTAAATCAAATTGCACCAGAAGTAGTCGTCTGACAAAGCAAAAGTTTTATTTGCAGCATACAGCAAAGAAAATGGAGACCATAGGGAATAATTTCACAAAGCTATTACTCCCTGAGCACAGGGAGGTGGGTACCTTTATTTGGGATAGGAAATGAATATTCAAAGGGGAAGTTTCATCATCATATGTAGAGGTGGGCATAAGCTTGCACATGCGTAGTTTGAAATCATGCTTTGACATATATCACTTGACCTAAAAACGGCTTCTTTGCCCCTCCCAGAGGAGGAGAATTTACGATGTTAATGGAGGACAGATTACTTTAGCACAACTTTCTACCTATCTGTGCAGGTGTCCATCTTGCGGTTGTGGTCTGGGCCGGTTCAGTGTTCCTTGGTCCAGGGTGGTTGATGCTTAGAGCTTCTTCCTGGAGCATAGCTGAAACCGCATAAGCTCAAGACTCCAAATTCATTAGTGAAAGGAACATCTGCACCTTTCCAGAAGACAAGAGAATTAGGTCAAACACAAAAAGGTTGGAGTTTAGGTAAGACAAGAGAAGTGGCTTAGAGTCCATGGCTGGTGACAATAGCAATTAATATTTATTTGGTGCTGATTATGTGCCAGACACTATTCTATGAGTTCTATATTTATTGATTAATTGTCCCTCCAACTCTATGTGGTAAGTACTGCTATTATGCTTCTCATTTCATAGATGAAGAAATCAAGGCACAGAGACCTAGATTGCAAACTGAGCAAGTGAAAGTATAAAGATTTGAACACAGGCAGCCAGATTCATACTTGTGCTCTTACTTACCTATTTTCCTGCCTCTCCAAAAGGAATTGTGAATGTGACCAATGGTTTAATAAATCCCATGCTACTCTCAAAAAGATTCTCTTGTGATGTACAGTTGATGCTTTTCCCTAACTGACTTTGTTAGATCAGTAGAGAGAATCTAAAGGATTATAGAGAGAGAGACTAAAGGATTATAAACTCCTTTTCTGACAGGAAGACTTACAGATTACCTGTTTTAAAATGTTAATAATGTACCGTTGATGTAATAGAGACTATTTTAGGGTAGTACAATGTCAGAGTAACTTGTAAAATTTAATATTACCAAAAATAAGTGATATGTCCAACTCGATTTCTCTCCATGGCTGTTTCAGGTTTTGAGCCTTATCAGGGTGACCGAGTAGAAGTTGACTTTTCCATCCAGCCAGACACGCAGAGCAGAAAGGCCCTCTCAGTGAAGCCTCGACGACATAAGCATGTGCATGAGGTAGTTCATTTGCATGTTGCTCTTGTTGTTTGTTTCTGCTTATCCTTCCTATAGTGATAATTTTTGCTGCTCAGGATTCTATTGAGCGTGTTAGGAAACTTAAAAGAAATGCATTTTTTGCCAAATAGGAGTCTATTTTCTCTTTGAAAAAGCTGTGCTTCTAAAAGGAAATAATTAGAGAATGATATAGAGCACACATATAATTAAGATCTAAATTATGTAGTTTATGTAGAAATATTAAAATGTTCTGAGAGCAGTAAGAACAGAAAACAAATTGTGTTCACGGAATTGTTGGGAAGAATGAATGGAGTGGGTGGCAGGACTAGAACTTACAGTAAATGCTGGGTATGATTGGGTGGTGGAGACCGAAAGTGAGTGGGAAATTCAGTTTGCATAAAGATACAGCTGAAGCTTGGAATGTGACAGAGGAAGTAGGGAAAATGATGTTCTGTTTGCCACCACACTCCTTTCTCACTCAATCTCTTTCACTCTTTCAACTGTAACTATGGAGGTTGGTGGACATTGTGTGTTATCTTTAGAGCAGAGTTTCTAGTCCTTGACCTGGGCCTCGTCAGCAGAGATTCTGACTTAATTGGTGTGAGGTGCGTCTGGGCATAGGTAGTTTTACAAAGTGCTGCTGGTGTTTCAAATGTGCCAGACAGTTGGGAATGACTGATTTGGGGTGGCCTACAGCTTAGAGGCGGAGCGAGGAAGGGCGGACTTGTTACAGTGTATGATGCTTTTACATCAACATTTCCATTATTTGTAATTACAGGTCTGTATTACTAGCCTACATGGAAGAAATGGGGTAATAGATGAGTGCATCTTTTTCACCTTGGATTCTCTGAAACTCCCTGATGGATACATACCTCGAGTATCTGACATTGTTAATGCGGTTGTGGTGGAGAGCATTCAGTCCTGCTATAATTGGAGAGCAATTTCTATGACTCTAGTGAAAAGGTGGTAATAAGAAAACAATATTTTTACTCCCTATGCAGCTTTTCTTCTCTTGGCAATGAAGGGCCTGGTTTAAATGTGTTTTGAAAAAACTAGCTTAGTAAACCTCAACAATTAATTCAAATTCAACCTGTCAAATCCTGTGTGGGTTGGCTAAATAGAGTGTATCTTCTGGAGAGTGTTCAGCAATTTTATTATTGATTAAAGACATTTTCAGCTTAATCCATTGTAATAATGTTATGTTCATGATTTTCTCTTTTTAGTGGATTTATTTATTTTTTAAAATTATTCTACATTCTCTGTTTTCTTTCACCTTTAGGACAGAGTTTCTAATCCAAGAACCTTTTTTGTTAGGACACATTGTGCATCAACTATTTTTTTTTTATATTCTGAGTTTACCTTACAGGTCCAGTGGGACCACCCAACCATCTAGTGGTTAGTTTCTCACTTTATGAGTCAGGTTTCAATATCTTCTAGATTTTAGGTATTCACTCGTTGGTTCACTTAAAAAGTAGTGATTGCCTTCTATGTGCCAGGTGCTGGGGTTATAGCCTTGAACACAGAGTCCAAAATTCTGTGCCCTAATAGAACATGTTCTATTAATGCCCACGTTGGCTTTCTGACTCATGGAGTAGTAGCTCCTAAAAAGAAAGGAGCAAGTGGGAGGTGCTGGGGCTCCAGGTCCCCGTGAAAGTTGTCATCCCAAAGCAGCACCACACCCTGTGGGAACTGCGGAGAAGTCCACCATTGCACTTGAGGGATGCACGGGCCATGCCCCATTGAATCCTCCTGTTGGTTGAGGTGGCAGAGCGTTCTCTGAGAGCCACAGTGGGTTGTCCGAAGCCTTAGGGGGTGTAAGTCATCCCAGCTGCTGCTTCACACACATCCTCACTGGAGGGAGTGAATCTGCACCTGGTGTGCAGAGCTCAGGCAATTGAATGGTTTCCTTTCATGCTTTTCAATGGCAAACTCCAGAAGCCAATTGCTTTCACAGGTCAGGCCCAGCAGCAGGATACTTTGAACATTTGTCTCAGGGATGGGTCAACTCTGAGGCTCTTTGCCATAATTTCCAATGCAAATCCTTGGTCAGCTCACCCTCATCAGGACATTACTCTGGTCTCCCTAGATGGGTGACATCATGGCTCTAGGACAGGGGAGCAGGAGGTATCAGTCTGGGCTGCATTATAAACGGGGTCTTAATAAATGGCATGAAAGCACAGGGACCTGCCACCAGCAGTTTCCGGGGCTCCGGTGTCCTGCGGTAGAGCTCCCCAACTGCTGCGCTGGGAACGGGCAGCAGATGTCCTGATGTGGAGAGTCCCCTCAGCTCGTTTAGGGAGAAATACAGTGAAGGGAGTAAGACAGTCATGTTGAGCAACATCAGCCAATTGTAGACCTTGGGCCAAATCTAACCTGCACCTTTTTTATTTTAAACAGCTTCACTGAGACGTAATTCACATAACATACAATTCACCCATTTAAAGTGTACAGTTCAATGGTTTTTAGTATATTTGCAGTGGTATGCAACCATCACCACAATCTTAATTTTAGAACATTTCACCCCGGCTTGAAAACACCCCATATCAGGAATAAAAATCAGGTTGTACGTTTCCCCTTTTTGATAGAGTCACAGACACATTCACTCCTTTTCCTCATTTTAAAGTCAGGCTTTCAGGTAGTTCTGAAGCCTTATAACCATTGAGACTCAACTGTGTTCAACTGGTCACAGACATGGCATCAGACACCACTTGTGATCTGAATTTCAAATCTCCATTCCCACTCAGGTGTGGTGCCTCAGTTTCTTAAATGTGCAATCAATTGCCTACTGTAATCTATCTCGAGCTCAAACTCAAGTGTTAGAAAACAATTTTTCAGCTCCTATCTCTGGAACAACACCTTGGACTCACTATATTCAATGTCCCAGTGACTAGAACCAGTGAACTCCTCATCCAAAGGTGACATGAACTGCTCTTGCAACATGCGTCGTGCTTTCCTTGTGCTTTACTTTTGTTAATGCTGTTCACTTTTTCCTAAAATTTCATCTCTATAGTCTTTACAATTCCATCGTTGCCTGTAAAAATCCCATCTAGTTCAGGCTAAAGGCAAATATAAATGTGAAATAGAGACTTAAACAGAATTTCAGTTAGGAAAGTGTTCATTAGTTCCAAGTTCCACACATATTAACTTCCTATAGTATCAAAGAACACTGTTTGCATTGTATTAACCAGAAAGTATGACAAGGACTCTAAAATGGTGGCTAGTTGGTATGAGAATGGGACTAGGGCTCTGCTGTCGTGGGGCATAAAGAGAGCAAAATGGTCATGAATTTTGACTGCCTAATATATTCACAGCATTGGGCTAGGAACTTACATTCACTATCTCATTTAATCCTCAAAAACACAATCAGAGTTAAGGAGTACAGAGTTAGTGTTAAACACAGGCACAGAGAAGTCAAGTGACTTTGTAAAGGACAGAGATTGTTTAACCAATAGAGCTGGGAATCAAATTCATCTGTCTGTCTGTCTGTCTCCAAACTTGTAAACTCAGTACATTTGAAAAGAGGAAATTCTCCCTACAGAGTTCTAATGGTCCTCACTCATTCATGCAAGAGCTATTTCTTTGGATTCCAGGATGAATGTCTGTTCCTAACTCAAAGGTGAAAAAAAGAGGCCATGGCTTAGACATCAATGACACTTTGGTTTAATTGGAAAGGTGGATGTGATCACATAAGTAACCATGAAAGTAAAAATTATGATGATCTAGGAAGGAAGAAATAGGCTTCTCTGAATGTGAGATAATAGTTGTGGTGGTCTGGGACTATGTTAAATTAAGTGTTCAGAGAAGACCACTTGAGGAAGCCATATTTAAGTTGAGAAAGGAAAGATAAGTAGACATTTACTGAGCAAGGGATTATGAGTAGAGAGGACAGTATGTGCAAAGGCCCTGAGGCAGAAAAGAGCTTGCTGCATTTAAGAGAATGGAAAGACTTTGGGGTTGGCCAAGTGACTTGATTCAGTCGGTGGGTTGTGATAGTATGCGATATGAGTAAATGCCCTTGATGTTCTGGTGATCCACCATGAGAAGCACATGCCCCTTTCATCCTAGGCTCATAATGATAACACATGGAGCTGATCCAGCCTGGAGGTGAAGTCAAACCCAGCCAAATTACATCTGAAGCAGGACTGCCCAGCCAAGAACTGAAAACCCTAGTTCATGAGCAATGTACAGAACTATGAATGTAAAACTAAATGCTTATTATTATAGGTCACTGAGTTTGGGCATTACTGCAACAATAACTAATACAGACTTTTAACATAAAAAATGACCCTCACTAACACACACACACACACACACACATACACACAATCTGCTGTTTGCTCTGCACTGGCTCATCATCAGGCTTGACTAAAGCAATAACAGGAAAACAATGACTAGGGGTCTATGCAGGGTGTGAAGCATGATTATTAACTGTAACAATGCTAGATGATGGGCAGCTAGGTCATAATTTTGTCATTGAATTTAAACCAGGCTGCCACTGTCGAATGCACTGCTCCAGGCTTTTTAATAAGCCCATTATACAACATAGTTCAGATATTCTGCAAAATGATTTCACTTGAAAAAAGGTAGGATAATAGCACAGTGCCATGGTAAAAAGAACTGCATTGACAAGCTACCACATACATGATCTTAATTTCTGGTTTAGAGAAGCCTCGGTCTTTTCTAGCACATTTTTTTCTTCACAGTCAACAAGATGCTGCCACTTAAAGGTATTATTTTTCTTCTTTCTATATAGCCAATGGATTTTATGTTACTTTAATGCTTCCCACTTCTTAAGGGCTTTTGGGGAACAAATCTTTTTCTTTTTTTGTATTATTTGGTTGTATCTAATTTTTTAAATTCTTTCTTTATTATTAATTTTTTTGGTGAGGAAGATTGGCCCTGAGCTAACATATGTTGCCAATCTTCTTCTTTTTGCTTGAGGAAGATTGTTGCTGAGCTAACATCTGTGCCAATCTTCTTCTATCTTATATGTGGGATGCCGCCACAGCACGGCTTGATGAGTGGTGTGTAGGTCCACACCCAGGATCCAAACCCATGAACCCCAGGCTGACGAAGCAGAGATTGCAAAACCAAGCACTATGCCACCAGGCTGGCCCCATTGGGAAACAGATCTTTTAACAGTGAAATTTTACTGCATGGACTCTAGGATGATATTGAAGAGCATCTAAGAGAAAATTACACTGATATATTTTGCCATTTGTTAATGATTGAACTGGTCTAACATCTAGATGTGATTTTATTAAAATGTATCTGATGGCACTTAAGCATTATCATAAGATAAGAATATAAATACATTCAAAATGAATTGTTCATGAAATCTGGAGTCCTTGCCACAGTGCAGGGAGTTCTTACTATAGGAAATTATATTTCTTGTTCTTAGGTATATAGGTTTGTAGAGGAGGAAAAACTTTTCCTCTACCCTCTTATGTTCTTTCCCTGAGTCCTGAATATTAAACAGACAAAAGCAAGATAAACAGGATAAAATGCATACAGGACAAATTTAATTTTAATTTTATGTACACAGAAGTTTCACAGAATAGAAGTGAAAACTCAAAGAAGCTGTTAGACTCAGAACCTTGTATACCATTTTAACAAAGGGTGATAAATTATGGAGAAGTGACTAGACAAAGGAAAGGGTGTGAGTAGGGGTTTCTAAGGGCAGTAAATTGTGGGAAGGTAAAATATGGGAAATTATGGAAGATAAAGGGTAATTTTAATAAGTTTGTACAGACTCATCTTGATGCTATCTTTCCATGTCTAATGATAAGGGTTGTTTTCTTCATCCTGGTACAAGAGAGGGGAGGATACACCTTCACAAAAGGAAATTTATGTCCTGCTTCTGGCAGATAGGGGAGAGGCAAAGAGCTCTTCTTGTGTTTGCTTTTTTCAAAATAATCTTTATGCCAAAGTGGCATATTTTGGGGTGGCATATTCTGATCCCCTACAGATTTGTAGAATTTTAGAACTAGAAGAGGCTTTAGAAATCCTCTAATCTAGTGTATCTTAAACTTTTGTGAGTCATTAATGACTTTCAGAATCTAGTGAAACCTATGAACTACCTCCCCACAAACAATTTCAAATAAAAATTTGGTATATACTTACCAGAAGTTCGAACCCCTCCTAAAATGTATCAATGGATGCCTTTTGAGCACATGAACTCC